TGTATAGCAGTTTGAGAGTATGACAATATTGTCTCTGGCTTGTGACGTGTAGATGACGTCACGGGTGGTTCATGACGTCTAGAGCCAGTCAGGTGACCCCGACCTGTGGACGAGGACGCTGTAACAAGGTGATCAGCGTCAGTAGCGCGGGCTAAAAGGCTCTGACGAGACTGGACCTTAAAAATGCCTTGGCTTTAGGTATAGTATATTCTCTCTCTCTCTCTCTCTCTCTCTCACTAGACATCAAACATTCTGTTTGTAGCTCATCTTGAATGTATGTACTTTTACTTGAATAAACATACATATTATATATATATATATATATATATATATATATATATATATATATATATATATATATATATATATATATATATATATATATGTTGTACCTAGTAGCCAGAACGCAGTTCTTGGCCTACTATGCAAGGCCCGATTTGCCTAATAAGCCAAGTTTTCCAGAATTTCAATATTTTTCTCATTTTTTTCTTATGAAATAATAATGATTCATTTCATTATGTATGAGCTAATTTTCTTTAAATTTGAGTTAAAACTAACGTAGATATATTACCGAACCTAACCTACCCTACCTAACCTATCTTAACCTAACATAAACTAACAAAACTAAATCAATAATTTATGTTCTTAATATAATATAATAATAATATTTAAAATAAACCAATAGGAAACAATTTATTGAAAATAAAATCACTCGTCTTATTAGGCAAACTAGGCCTTGCATAGTAGGCCGAGAAGTGCATTCTGGCTACTAGGTACGACATATATATATATATTTAACATGGTGAGAAGGGAAGCGGTGCTCTGTGCTGCACATCGCCATTTCCGACGCCTCTACCCATTCAGTCTGTCGTGCTACAGGTGTGAATCTGTCGTGCTACAGGTGTGAATCTGTCGTGCTACAGGTGTGAATCTGTCGTGCTACAGGTGTGAATCTGTCGTGCTACAGGTGTGAATCTGTCGTGCTACAGGTGTGAATCTGTCGTGCTACAGGTGTGAATCGAAATTGTGATTTCGTGTTCGAAAAAGCACAAAGTGAAGGTGTTCAGCAAGGTGGTCCTCTAGTTCCTCTTCTTTCCTGCTTAGTCTTAAAAGAAATCACCGAAAGCTTGTTCAGCGAGTTCAACATCTGGTTTTGGATGATGGCACTATAGCTGGCACCGTAGACCACCTCTTGGAAGACATCAGAAAAATAAAGGAGCAAGAAGCAAGCCTGGGTCTCTTCCTGAACCCTTCTAAGTGTGAAGTAGTCTCCTCCAACCCAGACATTATAGCTTGAGTGAGATCCGTCTTGCCCGGAGCCCATGTTGTTAGGCATACCTGCAGCACTCTCCTTGGAGAACCCCCCCCCCCCCCCTTCCCTCGGGTCTAACGACATTGAGGAGATCCTTCATAACAAAATCACGGACTTGAAAAGGATGGAAGTCAGGATTGATGACATCGATGTTCATGATGCCTTTTATCTCCTCACTAGATGCATCTCCCTTCCAAGGCTAACCTACTTTCTGAGGTGCTTGTAACTGGTAACAGCCCAAAGCTGAAGAGCATAACTTCCTACTGAAGATCATGCTAGAAAAAGTTGTCAATCTTTTCATCAACGACTAAGCCTTATCTTAATCAATGCCTTCTTGTCAAAGTAACGAAGCAAGGTCCTTCGTTACTTTGAAAATTCAGAACCTAGGTTCTGAGGACCTTAAACATAATACAGGGTACAAAACACAATCAAATCTGTCCATAGTAGGAAAGCAGCATGTCAAGGATTTGGGAATAATGATGTCTGACGACCTAACGTTTAGGGAGCATAACCAAGCAAATATTGCGGCACCCAGAAAAATGATCGGATGGATTACGATAACTTTCAAATCCAGGGATCCCATCACAATGGTTGTACTCTAAAAGTCACTTGTGTTGTCCCGTCTTGAGTACTGCTCGGTACTCACTTCCCCCTTCAGAGCAGGAGAGATTGCTGAAATAGAGGGAATACAGAGAACATATACGGCACGCATAGACGCGATAAAACACCTAAATTATAGAGATAGTCTCAAAGCTCTCCATATGTACTCACTCACCAAATCTACACAGTAAAATAACAACATACTGGAGTGAACGATATGGAAGAAAATGCAGAATAGAACCAGTGAAGAGCAGAGGTGCCATAGGCACAATCAGAGAACACTGTATAAACATCAGAGGTCCGCGGTTGTTCAACGTCCTCCCAGCGAGCATAAGAAATATTGCCGGAACAACCGTGGACATCTTCAAGAGAAAACTAGACAGTTTTCTCAGGTTACTTATCAAGAGTCATCTCTGATCCATTACGACTATATAGCACTTGGAGGGGATATGAAGACAAGGACTTTGAAGAGGACGAAGGGAAGGAATGGTGTCCAACCACTTGGACGGTCGAGGAATTAAACGTCGACGTGCAAGAGGCGAGACCGTCGCTCTACCGTCCACCCCAAGTGCCTGGTTAGTAACAAAGCAAATAAAAAACACAATTTCTCACTGTAAGGCAAGAAAAACAGTTACCGCTTGTAAGTCAAGAAAAAACTGGTCCCGTCGGCCTTGAGCGCAGCAAGACGACTCGCACTTGACCCTCAAGATCAACCCGTCTTCAAGGTCGCCCCGAGGCGCTCTGAAGAAACCAAGAGTTGACCCGAGTGACGTAACCTCCACTAAACCACTTCCTTCCTCCTTCAATATTACGCTGTTTGGACCATTATACCCCCCCCCGGGCTCTCGTCACGTGGCCTTGCACCACCACGTCTCTCTGTCAACATTAACCCGTCAGTGTGCAGGAAAAGTCAGAATTAAGTAGAGCTTCTCAGGGGGCGGAAGAGGACCATAATGTTTGATATTTGAGCGACAATGTCTGCGTGACGTCACTGGTAGAGACGGAACCTTGTCAGCTGGGCGCTGGTATGTGGGTCACTGTGTACTGTGTACATATGAGGCTCACTGTGTACATATGTGGATCACTGTGTACATATGTGGCTCACTGTGTACTGTGTACATATGTGGCTCACTGTGTACTGTGTACATATGTGGCTCACTGTGTACTGTGTACATATGTGGATCACTGTGTACATATGTGGCTCACTGTGTACATATGTGGCTCACTGTGTACATATGTGGCTCACTGTGTACATATGTGGCTCACTGTGTACATATGTGGCTCACTGTGTACTGTGTACATATGTGGCTCACTGTGTACTGTGTACATATGTGGGTCACTGTGTACTGTGTACATATGTGGCTCACTGTGTACTGTGTACATATGTGGCTCACTGTGTACATATGTGGGTCACTGTGTACTGTGTGCATATGTGGGTCACTGTGTACTGTGTGCATATATGGGTCACTGTGTACTGTGTACATATGTGGCTCACTGTGTACATATGTGGCTCACTGTGTACTGTGTACTTATGTGGGTCACTGTGTACTGTGTACATATGTGGGTCACTGTGTACTGTGTACATATGTGGGTCACTGTGTACTGTGTACATATGTGGGTCACTGTGTACTGTGTACATATGTGGCTCACTGTGTACTGTGTACATATGTGGGTCACTGTGTACTGTGTGCATATGTGGGTCACTGTGTACTGTGTGCATATGTGGATCACTGTGTACTGTGTACATATATGGGTCACTGTGTACTGTGTACATATGTGGCTCACTGTGTACATATGTGGCTCACTGTGTACTGTGTACTTATGTGGGTCACTGTGTACATATGTGGGTCACTGTGTACTGTGTACATATGTGGCTCACTGTGTACTGTGTACTTATGTGGGTCACTGTGTACTGTGTACATATGTGGGTCACTGTGTACTGTGTACTTATGTGGGTCACTGTGTACATATGTGGGTCACTGTGTACTGTGTACATATGTGGCTCACTGTGTACTGTGTACATATGTGGGTCACTGTGTACATATGTGGGTCACTGTGTACTGTGTGCATATGTGGCTCACTGTGTACTGTGTGCATATGTGGGTCACTGTGTACTGTGTACATATGTGGGTCACTGTGTACTGTGTACATATGTGGGTCACTGTGTACTGTGTACATATGTGGGTCACTGTGTACTGTGTACATATGTGGGTCACTGTGTACTGTGTACATATGTGGCTCACTGTGTACTGTGTGCATATGTGGGTCACTGTGTACATATGTGGGTCACTGTGTGCATATGTGGCTCACTGTGTACTGTGTACATATGTGGCTCACTGTGTACTGTGTACATATGTGGGTCACTGTGTACTGTGTGCATATGTGGGTCACTGTGTACTGTGTGCATATGTGGGTCACTGTGTACTGTGTACATATGTGGGTCACTGTGTACATATGTGGCTCACTGTGTACTGTGTACATATGTGGCTCACTGTGTACTGTGTACATATGTGGCTCACTGTGTACTGTGTACATATGTGGGTCACTGTGTACTGTGTACATATGTGGGTCACTGTGTACATATGTGGGTCACTGTGTACTGTGTGCATATGTGGGTCACTGTGTACTGTGTGCATATGTGGCTCACTGTGTACATATGTGGGTCACTGTGTACTGTGTGCATATGTGGGTCACTGTGTACTGTGTACATATGTGGGTCACTGTGTACTGTGTACATATGTGGCTCACTGTGTACTGTGTACATATGTGGGTCTGTGTACTGTGTTCATATGTGGCTCACTGTGTACATATGTGGCTCACTGTGTACTGTGTACATATGTGGGTCACTGTGTACTGTGTACATATGTGGGTCACTGTGTACTGTGTACATATGTGGGTCACTGTGTACTGTGTACATATGTGGCTCACTGTGTACTGTGTACATATGTGGGTCACTGTGTGGGTCACTGTGTACATATGTGGGTCACTGTGTACTGTGTACATATGTGGGTCACTGTGTACTGTGTACATATGTGGCTCACTGTGTGTATGTTGAGTACTATGTAAATATGTGGGCCACCGTGGGGGCATGTGGGCCACCGTGGGGGCATGTGGGTCACCGTGGGGGCATGTGGGCCACCGTGGGGACATGTGGGCCACCGTGGGGGCATGTGGGCCACCGTGGGGGCATGTGGGCCACCGTGGGGGCATGTGGGCCACCGTGGGGGCATGTGGGCCACCGTGGGGGCATGTGGGCCACCGTGGGGGCATGTGGGCCACCGTGGGGGCATGTGGGCCACCGTGGGGGCATGTGGGCCACCGTGGGGGCATGTGGGCCACCGTGGGGGCATGTGGGCCACCGTGGGGGCATGTGGGCCACCGTGGGGGCATGTGGGCCACCGTGGGGACATGTGGGCCACCGTGGGGGCATGTGGGCCACCGTGGGGGCATGTGGGCCACCGTGGGGGCATGTGGGCCACCGTGGGGGCATGTGGGCCACCGTGGGGGCATGTGGGCCACCGTGGGGACATGTGGGCCACCGTGGGGGCATGTGGGCCACCGTGGGGGCATGTGGGCCACCGTGGGGGCATGTGGGCCACCGTGGGGGCATGTGGGCCACCGTGGGGGCATGTGGGCCACCGTGGGGGCATGTGGGCCACCGTGGGGGCATGTGGGCCACCGTGGGGGCATGTGGGCCACCGTGGGGGCATGTGGGCCACCGTGGGGGCATGTGGGCCACCGTGGGGGCATGTGGGCCACCGTGGGGGCATGTGGGCCACCGTGGGGGCATGTGGGCCACCGTGGGGGCATGTGGGCCACCGTGGGGGCATGTGGGCCACCGTGGGGGCATGTGGGCCACCGTGGGGGCATGTGGGCCACCGTGGGGGCATGTGGGCCACCGTGGGGGCATGTGGGCCACCGTGGGGGCATGTGGGCCACCGTGGGGGCATGTGGGCCACCGTGGGGGCATGTGGGCCACCGTGGGGGCACGTGGGCCACCGTGGGGGCATGTGGGCCACCGGGGGGGCATGAGGGCAACCGAGGGGGGCATGTGGGCCACCGTGGGGGCATGTGGGCCACCGTGGGGGGCATGTGGGCCACCGTGGGGGGCATGTGGGCCACCGTGGGGGGCATGTGGGCCACCGTGGGGGGCATGTGGGCCACCGTGGGGGGCATGTGGGCCACCGTGGGGGGCATGTGGGCCACCGTGGGGGGCATGTGGGCCACCGTGGGGGTATGTGGGTCAGTACTGCGGGTGCCCGCTATACCCGCATCATTGCCAACTCCGGCGGGCCATACCAATGTCAGGGTTGTCATAACACTTGGCAACACTGTATGTTGGGAAAGTGTCGCGTCACGCAGCGTGTGCGCGCGCGCGTGCGCTCCCCTACCTGTACTCACCCATGAGTACTCACCCATGAGTACTCACCTACCTGTACTCACCCATGAGTACTCACCTACCTGTACTCTCCCATGAGTACTCACCTACCTGTACTCACCCGGTCGGTCCTCCAGGTAGGGGAGCCGGTCGGCCGAGCGGACAGCACGCTGGACTTATGATCCTGTGGTCCTGGGTTCGATCCCAGGCGCCGGCGAGAAACAATGGGCAGAGTTTCTTTCACCCTATGCACCTGTTACCTAGCAGTAAAATAGGTACCTGGGTGTTGGTCAGCTGTCACGGGCTGCTTCCTGGGGGTGGAGGCCTGGTCGAGGACCGGGCCGCGGGGACACTAAAGCCCCGAAATCATCTCAAGATAACCTCAACATAACCCATGTGTACTCACCTATATGTACTCACCCATGTGTACTCACCTACCTGTACTAGAAAGGTGCCTGCGAGTACTGCCACTAGTGACCCGTGACCTTTGACCCCGTCTGTGGCTGTAATGTCCTGCTTGCCTCAGTCTTCCTACTGCCGCTCATCTTAATGTTCCCCTTCATCCCTTATCCTAGTTCCCCAGGTATCATACACGTCGCTACCATGGCACTGAGTCCCTTTCTCTCCTCAGATGTGGAAAGGTATAGTTCCCTGAGCCTTTCTTCATAGCTCTGTCCTCACATGTCGGGTACCAGTCTTGTAGCATTAGAATTGTTTGAAGGTTGCTGGCTGGGTGGAGGCGACACGCTCCAGTATAGTCTCACGTACGTGGCGGCCAATGTTCTGGAGGCCCGGCTTCCCTAGCTGCCAAATTGTTGTTGTTATATGTGTCAGTTTCACACACACGCTGCTGATGTTATCCTGTTGGTGTGTGCCTCTGGTGTTAGGCTTAGTTACATGAACTCCTGTCATCGTCATTACTTGTTCCAGTCAGTCATCAACCTTCCCTTCAGCCCAGCCTCGTGTGTGGCAGTACTTACAGTAACCATCACGACCACAGTACTCTATATACCCACCTACAACAAAATTAGAAGAAATCACCACTATTGACTTGGAAATCAGGAAAACAATTTTTTACTTGAGTTGCTTTGACAAACTAACCCAACCTATCCTAATCTTCCTAAGACGAATACACGATATCTGAGGCCTAATATAGTACATGTGTGTGCTATATTAGGCCTAGGAATATTAAAGTTTGTTTTTAGCTTCATTTTTTCCGACTATAATGGGAATAGTACAAAGTTCTACTGTCTAATTGTTTAGTACGGCAATCTATGTACTATAGCGCACATAGTTACAACAACTACTGTCTAAACAGGAGAATGGCTTGTTCCGCTTCATATTGTTCACTGGGGTCTGCATGCTCCATACTCGCTTATCATTTCCTTGCATTTATCTGGGTTGAATTCTAGCAGTCATTTCTCCGACCATCCTTGAAGCTTATGGAGGCCATCTTGAATCTATTTACAATCAATATAATTCGTTTTTATTCATTTTGCATCAGTCACAAACATTGATAAGAATGCATCAACTCCCTCATTAAGATTACTACCCTCTGGCGGTCACTGTGACCCTCCACACTCACTCACTCACCTCCCTCACCAGCAGTACCTCCTCCTGCTGCTGCTGCTGCTGCTGCTGGTCAGTGGAGATGACCACCACCAGCAGACGTGACGTGACCATCAGCAGCAGACATGACGTGACCTCCAGCAGCAGCAGACATGACGTGACCTCCAGCAGCTGCAGACATGACGTGACCTCCAGCAGCTGCAGACATGACGTGACCTCCAGCAGCTGCAGACATGACGTGACCTCCAGCAGCTGCAGACATGACGTGACCTCCAGCAGCAGCAGACATGACGTGACCACCAGCAGCAGACATGACGTGACCTCCAGCAGCAGCAGACATGACGTGACCACCAGCAGCAGCAGACATGACGTGACCACCAGCAGCAGCAGACATGACGTGACCTCCAGCAGCAGACATGACATGACCTCCAGCAGCAGCAGACATGACGTGACCTCCAGCAGTAGCAGACATGACGTGACCTCCAGCAGCAGCAGACATGACGTGACCACCAGCAGCAGACATGACGTGACCTCCAGCAGCAGCAGACATGACGTGACCACCAGCAGCAGCAGACATGACGTGACCACCAGCAGCAGCAGACATGACGTGACCTCCAGCAGCAGCAGACATGACGTGACCTCCAGCAGCAGCAGACATGACGTGACCTCCAGCAGCAGCAGACATGACGTGACCTCCAGCAGCAGCAGACATGACGTGACCTCCAGCAGCAGCAGACATGACGTGACCTCCAGCAGCAGCAGACATGACGTGACCACCAGCAGCAGCAGACATGACGTGACCTCCAGCAGCAGCAGACATGACGTGACCTCCAGCAGCAGCAGACATGACGTGACCTCCAGCAGCAGCAGACATGACGTGACCTCCAGCAGCATCAGACATGACGTGACCTCCAGCAGCATCAGACATGACGTGACCTCCAGCAGCAGCAGACATGACGTGACCACCAGCAGCAGACATGACGTGACCTCCAGCAGCAGCAGACATGACGTGACCACCAGCAGCAGACATGACGTGACCACCAGCAGCAGACAAGACGTGACCACCAGCAGCAGACATGACGTGACCACCAGCAGCAGACGTGACCACCAGCAGCAGACGTGACTGCAGCAACAGCCGTCCCAACACCTCCACCAAGACACAACTGGACCACACAACACCATTAATTGGTCTGACTCTCGTGCACACCTGCGTGTGGCTCCCCTCACAGGCTGGTGTGCTCCCCCCTCCCACACCATGCTCCCCCCTCCCACACCATGCTCCCCCCTCCCACACCATGCTCCCCCCTCCCACACCATGCTCCCCCCTCCCACACCATGCTCCCCCCTCCCACAACACAACATGCTCCCCCCTCCCACAACACAACATGCTCCCCCCTCATGCTCAAAAGTTTCACAGGAGACGGGAAGTCCGAATGCAGCCACATCCCCAGAGTCCGGATACCGTTCCTGATGCCCCGTAACCGCCCGGAGGAACTCGCATTCATCTGCACACTCACGACAGTGCCTAACTGCCCGAAGTACCGCCACAGCAGTCAGTGCCTGCCCCATCAGAGCACCATCAACACTGACTATGTGAGCAGCCACTCCGATCAGAGATAACCACCAAACCAGCAGCGTCCGGCAGGAGAAACGACTGCCCCTCAAAGCAGCCCCAGAACACTCGATAATCCTCGGCAGCAGAAAATTTCACCACTTCCCGATGAGAAGAGGAGCGCCACGCCATGGATGACAGCCACGTCCAAACCCAGCACCTCATACAACACCAGCTCTACAGCAGGGTAGTTAAGCACGGGAGACATCTCCCGTCACGCAGGGTGCAGTCGCACCTCCACAGATCTCCAGTATCATCTATTGATACTGGAAATGGCTCAAAAGGGCCACCACTTATGGGCTATTCATGCCCAAGCCACCTTTTGGGTGGCTTAATCTTCTCTCTCTCTCTCTCTCTCTTAGGGTAGTTAATCTTGCCAGTAATCTCGAGACCGACAGAGTGAGTCCGCAACATGGGGAGGGGGGATGGGGCCCATCCATCTCGCCGTCCACGTCAACAACCAAGGCAGGGTCCGCACGCTACGCCAGATCGCCTATGACTGGAGGGGCAGGGGAAATGACCTCACTCCACAGCACCCCCTCCCCGCTCAGCTCGTTGTCGCCGTGTGGGGGCTTCGTGGGCGGCTGCCGGAGTGTGATGCTCCTTCGGACAGTCCTCTGTCCTTTTCTAGCCTTGTGCTCCTGCTGCCGTCCTCTCCAATTCTGCTGGGCACTTTTTCCTTTTCCTTCTGTTTCGTTTTTCTCCCCCCTCTTCTCCTATCTGCTTGCCGTTTCCTGCCGACCTTTTGCTCGTTCTGGTTCTTCCATGGACTTCTTCTATTTTGACGCCCGGGTGCTTGAGGAGGCATACTCATGCACCCGTAGAACTGCAGTACCCGACGTCGAGAGCGAGGGGAACCTTTTATTGTCAATCCCCACTTCGTCACTGAACCCGATCTCGACGGACTGTCGGTTTCTTAAGGTGGCGTTTGTGGGGCGAATACTCACGACGCACCCCTAGGAGGCCCCGACAAGATCGGCGATAGCTTCTTGTTGGGTGTCCTGCCTCTAATTGTGGCTCCATGGTGGGTGTGGGGGCACATTCGTGAGTGAATTTTTCTTTTCGTCACGATGAAAACCCCTGTTTCGGCTGCTTCTAGCTTCCCTTCTCAGGCTCGTGGGGTGGGCGACCAAGCCCCCGAGTCGGTCCGTATTGGAAGACCGGGCTCTGTAGCCTCCGCTGCATTGGGCCCCGACTTTGCTCCTCCTTTGGCCTCTCTGACTCCTTCCCCTGGCTCCCTTCCCCTCCTCTGTGGTTGGGTCGAGCCCCAAGTTTGGGCATGGTGCCCCTCCGCTGCTCCGGGACTGTCTCTCTCTGTCCTTTGTGTGGTGGCGAAGGTCACTCTAAGTCGGAGTGCACTTCTCCCCAGGCTCGTTGCCTCAACTGCGGTGAGGCCCATCCTACCTTCTCCCGTGCGTGTGTCCATTACAAGCTTGAGGCAGCCGTCCTCAACCTGAAGCACCGGGAGCGTTTATCTTTTCCTGAGGCGAGGCGCCAGGTTCGCCGGCTCCCGCCTTATGCTAATATCTCTATATGCTCGCGTGTTGCGCTCTTCCTCTCCTCGTCCTTCCCGCCTTCCTCAGACTCACAACCGTTTCCGGGCCTTGGACCCTGATGCGCCCACTGCCCCCCTCCTCTGTTCCTTCGGGTTCTCTCCCGAAGGATCCTCCTCCTGGTCTTCTGTCTGGGGTTCCCCTCTTCTTCTACCCGGTCTGTCGTGTCTTCTGTGTCTTCTTCCTCGTCCCCCTCCGGTCCTCCTTCCCATCCTCTTCCTCCATCTATCAGCTCTCCCCACCGCCGCCTGTCGGTGCGGGCAGATGTCCATCGCTCTCCTACCGGCCGTCGTGTGTGCTCTCGTTCGGCTTCTCCGGTTGAGACACTGGAATCCGTTGCCCGGTACGTAGTTGCTGGGACACCGGTCTCTTTAAGTCAGAAGCGTAAGCCTGGCTCCTCTCCTTCCTCTTCCCCGGCGGGTAAGAAGGCTTCGCTTTCTTCCTCAGCTCCTCCTTCTGGCTCTGTTGCTCCTTCCCCTCCCGTTTCAGTGCTTGCGCCCCCTGTTCCTGCTATGGAGGTTTCTTTGGACCCTGCTTCCCTTTTCGGTTGCTGCTCTTGCTGGGGTGCGCTCCCCTCTTTCTACTCCCCCTCCTCCTGCTGCTGTCCTTGACGGATCTCTCTCCGTTGTCTCCTCCTCTTCTCCTCCTCCTCCTCCTCCTCCTCCTCCTCCTCCTCCGGACCCTGCCCGCCCGCCTCTGATCTGTTTCTCCCGTTTCCTTCCCTCCGTCTTTGCTCAGTTTACCCATGCCCCCTAACCCTGACTTTGCTGACCCAGATCCCGACCCTGATATTCTTTAACGTGCTCTGTTGCTCTTTCGCCTTTGTTTCTTCCTTGTTCTCTGTTTTTGTCCTTTCTCTTCTCGTCGTTGTCCATTCTTCAATGGAACGTTCGAGGTTATTACGCCAATTTCCTCGAACTCCAACTTCTGGTTTCGCGGTTTTCGCCCCTTTGTGTCTGTCTCCAGGAGCCAATGCTTGGTGCTCGTCCTGGTCGTTTTTCGTGGCTATTCCTTTCTCTCCCCCCCCCCCCCCAGCCAGTGCTGGGGCTTCTAATTCTTCTGCTCTCTTGATTCGGGCTGATGTTCCCTTTGTTCCTTTACTTTTTCCTTCGCCTCTCCATTGTTCTGCTGCTCGTATCTTTGTGGGAAATGGTACACAGTTTGTTCCATTTATCTCCCCCCGAGTGTCCCGCTCTCTCTTCCTGATTTGAAACACCTCCTAGACTCCTTGCCGGAGCCTGTGCTCCTGCTGGGGTGACTTCAATTGTCGTCATTCTCTTTGGGGTGACGTTCTGACGAATACCCGGGGTCGCCTCCTTGAGCCGTTTCTCCTCTCTTCTTCCCTGTCTCTTCTGAATTCTGGTGAGCCCACTCATTTGGATTCTCGAACTCACACCCTTTCTTGTCTTGATCTTTCTCTTTGCTCTTCTTCTCTTTACTTAGATTTCACGTGGCAGGTTCTTGATGACCTCCATGGAAGTGATCATTTCCCCATCCTTGTTTCCTTTTTCCTCTTTCGCCCTTCCCTCTCTTTCCCTAGGTGGCAGTTTGCTAAGGCGGACTGGACCCTATTTTCCCTCAGTGCTACTCTCTCTGACCTCTCCCTTCTGCCCCTCTCTCGCGCTCTCCTCCTTTTTCGTGACACTGTCTTCGACGCTGCCCTCCGCTCTATTCCTCGCTCTTCCTCTCGGGGTCCACGGAAGTGCGTTCCCTGGTGGAATGCGGACTGTGCTCGGGCTGTCCGCTGTAAGCGTGCAGCCTGGAAGAAGCACCGCCGTAGGCAGACGACCGATTCTTTTCTTTTCTTTCGGAAAGCAAGTGCAGTGGCCCGTAGGGCCATCCGTACGGCTAAACGTGAATGTTGGGCATCTTATGTCTCGACAATTACGTCCGAAACCCCTCTGGACCAGATCTGGAAGCGTATCCACAAGATAGCGGGTAAGTTCGCAACCCGATGTTTCCTCGTCCTTCAAGTCCATGATACTCTTGTGGCGGACCCGTTGCAGGTCCCCACAGAACTGGGTTCCCACTTTTCTTCTGTTAACTCTGCTGTTCATCTTCCCCAAACGGGAATTCTTCGTCAACCTGTCCTTGAGTCTCGTCCTTTAGATTTCTGCACTCATCTTCAGCTTCCCTATAATGATCCCTTCTCTCTCTCTGAACTTCGTTCTGCCCTGGCCCTCTGCGGTTCTACGGCGGCGGGCTCCGATGGTATTCATTATGAGATGCTTCGCCATCTCCCTCCGAGCACGTCTCAGTATTTACTGAGTCTGTATAATCGGATCTGGGAGTCGTAGTCAGTCCCTGAGGACTGGCTAGGTGCCGTTGTCCTCCCTGTTCGCAAACCGGGGTCTCTGGGTACTTCCCCTAAGGACTTTCGCCCTATTGCTCTTACAAGTTGTGTCTGCAAACTCTTTGAACGTATGGTTAACGTTCGTCTGATGTGGTTCCTGGAACACCATGTTTCCGCAAGTGCCGCAGTACAGATGTACTGGTGAACTTGGAGGTCTATATTCGTACTGCTTTTGCTGCGAAGACCTCCGTTGTTGCCGTCCTTTTTTGACCTAGAAAAGGCTTACGACACCACTTGGCGTTATCATATCCTATCTCAACTTCATTCTTTTGGCCTTCGTGGTCATCTCCCTCTCTTTCTCCGCAGCTTCCTCTCTCGTCGTTCCTTTCGGGTGCGCCTTGGTACCGCTCTGTCTCCCTCTTTTCAGCAATACGAAGGTGTGCCCCAGGGTAGTGTTCTGAGCACTACTCTTTTTCTGGTTGCCCTCAATGGTCTTCTTTCCTCTCTTCCTTCTGGTGTCTTCTCCGCTCTCTATGTCGATGATCTTACCCTTTGTTGTCAGGGTGATGATTCGCCTCTCCTTCAACGCCGGCTTCAACTTGCAATTGATGCCGTGTCGTCTTGGGCCACAGGTCATGGCTTCAAGTTCTCTACTTCTAAGACTTGTGCCATGACTTTTACGCGGAAACGGTTGTTTTTCTTCGTCCCTCTTTGTCACTTTATGGTCATCCCCTTGGGCCCATCCATCTCGCCGTCCACGTCAACAACCAAGGCAGGGTCCGCACGCTACGCCAGATCGCCTATGACTGGAGGGGCAGGGGAAATGACCTCACTCCACAGCAGCCAGCGCAACCCGTCCTCGACTCAAGTCCATTACATTCAGCGGTCAACCCCACAGACGCATTCATAAATTTTAACATGCTGTTCATTCAAAACGGGAATTTTCTCAAGTATAAATTAATATTATAATATATTGGCATATTGTGTATATATAGGCATAGGTTAGGTTAGGTTAGGTTAGGTGTTTAGGTTCGGTTGGCGATTGTAGTACGTGGGTGAAGCATTTATAGTGTTGTGGTTCGAACAAAACTCGTCAGTGAAGCACTTGTTCCGGAAGTGTTCGAATGTCAACAGTTGTGAGTCGTGTGTAAACCGCTTTTCATTCATAAACAGGGGGTTTGGCGGGTGCATGGAATCACTTTTGGATCTTTGTTTGGAGGACGGGCTGGCCAGCGCGCAACTCCTCGTTCGATAATGTCCCAAACAAGGGACTCCAACTGAAGCTAAAGTACTGGGAAGTCTCAAGGTGGGTCAGAGAGTAACTCTCGGAAGGAAACAAAGGTTTACAGCGAGAGGAGAGATACCAGAGTGGAGAGAGGTATTAAAAGTGGAGTACCACAGCTGTCGGTGCTGGCTCCATCATCTTCCATTAACGACCAGGAGTTGCGCACTGAGTAGCGTGGCGAGCGGTCGTTCCTGTCCTGCTGCCCAGTTGTTGCTTGCCTGGGGTGGTTGGTGGACCGCTGGTCGTGTGCTGACGTAGCCTGCGTGATGGAGATGACCTTCCCCCTGTATTTGCAGGTTCATTCGGTCGGATTGGAGTTCACCGGTAAGACTGATTATCCAGCGGTGGAATTGGTGATGTGTGACGTGCTGCACGTTGATGTGGCTGCGATTTATGGAGTGGAGTTGGTTTCTTCCCATCGGGCTATCGTGAAGTTTGCCACCGAGGGTGACTATAGCGTGTTTTTGCGCCGTTACGAGGGGCGGTCGTTTCAGCTGCCGGATGCTGCTGGTACGGTCGTTATCTCCGACCGTAGTGGTGCCCTTACCATCGTCAGTGTGCACGGTGCGCCCCTCGAGTTCCGGAGGAGCTGCTACGGAGGTATTACGGGCGGTATGGCACTGTTGTGAGTGTCAAATTGCATACCCTTTCCTCTGGGAAATTTAAGGGAGTTTGGACGAATATTCGCACTCTGGGGATGCGGCTGCGGTCAGACATCCCGTTCTCTGTGTGGCTTATGGGGTTTTACGTCCGCGTGTACTACACACGACAGCCACGAACCTGCTTTGGTTGTGGGTTGTTGGGCCACATGGCTGCTGGGTGCTCGGCGGATGTCGTCGTGCCGTTGAATTTTTTCGTGAGGAGGATTTCCAGCCGCTCACTGGGTGGAGTTTTGGACGACTATTTGGCTGTTGGGTCGCGTCCTGAGTGGACTGGTGTGCCTGATGTTGCTGGGGCTTGTCCTATGGAGGTTGTGAAGTCCTCCGTTGGACGTCTTGTTCCGGGTGGTGTTCCTGATGCTGATCTTCCAGATGCTCCACCTCCGCCGTCATCAGCTTCTCCAGTTCCTGTCTCTCCGTCTACGATGCCTGTCCCGGCCTTGCTGGAGGATGGTGTCGATGCAGGGCCTCCTGCGGTGTTGGGGCCGGTCTCCCATGTAGTTGAGGATGCTGATGTCTTGCGTCGTGTGCCCGCCCTGTGCTATCCGTGCTTCTGGTTCTGACGACGTGCAGCCGGATCCCAAGCGTTCACAGCGTTCTTCTGCATGGGTCGACGTGGGTAACTTTGATGATTGCGAGTCCCCCCCCCCCCCACTGGGATGGTTCCTGGGGAGTTGGTATCTACTGCGACGGTGGTGGCGGAGCTTCACGCGCCTCCTGCTGCTGCCGGTGGAAGTGTTTCTGAATTGACATCTGTTTTTTCTCCTGCACGGGTTTCTCCGCAATGGCGGATGGTTCCTACTCCTGAGGTGGATGGTGAAGGTGCTGGTGCGAGCCGAGGCTTTGTAGTGTCTTGAAGAAGGATGTCCGTCGTGGGAGGGGGGGGGGGTGTCTGTGCCGGTGCCCGGCCCCTGTGGATATTCCGGCGGGGGCACCTGTGGTGTTGGCCCCCCCCCTCACCTGTCGCCTCCTGTGATGCCCCCTGCTGTGCTCACGCCGGCTGTGTTGCCCGCCCCTGTGCAGCCACACCCCGTCTCAGGGGTGCGGTTGCCCGGTCGAGGAGGGGACCATACCCGGTATTGGAATTCTTCCTGTTGAGGATTTGACTGCGCCCCGGCTACCCGTCTTGTGGAAGCAGATGGCGCCGCTTCCCCTGTGCCCTTCGACTATTTGGGTCCCCCGTGTGCATGCCTTCGTGTCCGAGGTTTCGGATGTGATGGGGCTCCCTATACGAAGCGTCAGGATGAGTATCCTGATCTGTGGCTGCGCTCGGAGGCGTTCTGTGTCCGGTTTCCCAAAGACAAGTTTCCGGAAAAATTCCTTTGAGGTGTTTGCTATGGGCTCGTCAGGCCTGTGGTTATCTTGAGGTTATCTTGAGATGATTTCGGGGCTTTAGTGTCCCCGCGGCCCGGTCCTCGACCAGGCCTCCACCCCCAGGAAGCAGCCCGTGACAGCTGACTAACACCCAGGTACCTATTTTACTGCTAGGTAACAGGGGCATAGGGTGAAAGAAACTCTGCCCAGTGTTTCTCGCCGGCGCCTGGGATCGAACCCAGGACCACAGGATCACAAGTCCAGTGTGCTGTCCGCTCGGCCGACCGGCTCACGGTGGTGGTGTCTCTTTTCTTTTTACTTTCGAGTTTTTGTCTACCTATCCTGTTATATGTTATGTTACGATGTTATGTCTTGTTGTGTGCCCATCAGGCCTATGATTTTGTACTCTAAGGTGTTTCTTTTGTTTTTCTTTTTTATGTACTGCTTAGCATGCCCTGCATGTAAAAATAAATACAACAAAAATTAACGACCTGACGGCCAACATTGGCTCCTTCATTTGGGTTTACTGTCATGCAAAACTAGTGAGAAGATGAAGCCATAAAGAAGACAACGACGCCCACAGGTGTCAGTCATAAGCCAGTAGGTCAAACACCAAACAACTCTGACAATAATGGTAATCAAAGTCATTAGGAGAGGTAATGAACCAGGAGGTGGAGGGAGGGCGGGGGGTGAGGTGACGTGTCCCACCCAACAGTTTAGCCAGACAGGGAAAGTTGGGTGGGAGGGAAGGCGTCCTCTCTCTTACGCTCTCTGCCTGACGCCCTCTCCCTTATATCCTCTCCTCTCCCTGTCTCTGTGTCCACTCTCTCTCTCTTAGTCTGTGTGGCTCTACCTTTAGTGACACGGTGAACACAACAGGAGCACGGTGAAAGTAGCCACGGTGAACACAACAGGAGCACGGTGAAAGTAGCCACGGTGAACTATACCTGGCTTAAATTATACCAGCCCCCCCCCCCCCACCACCCAAACTACACCAGCCCCCCCCCCACCACCCAACACTACACCAGCCAAAACACTACACCAGACCCCCCCCCCCCACCACCCAACACTACACCAGCCCCCCCCACCCCCAACACTACACCAGCCCCCCCCACCACCCAACACTACACCAGCCCCCCCCTCCCCCAACACTACACCAGCCCCCCCCCACCACCCAACACTACACCAGCCCCCTCCCCCAACACTACACCAGCCCCCTCCCCCAACACTACACCAGCCCCCCCCCACCACCCAACACTACACCAGCCCCCCCCCACCACCCAACACTACACCAGCCCCCTCCCCCAACACTACACCAGCCCCCCCCCCACCACCCAACACCACACCCCCCCCCTCCACCCAACACTACACCAGCCCCCCCCCACCACCCAACACTACACCAGCCCCCCCCCCTCCCCCAACACTACACCAGCCCCCCCCCCCACCACCCAACACTACACCAGCCCCCCCCCACCACCCAACACTACACCAGCCCCCCCCCACCACCACCCAACACTACACCACCCCCCCCCCAGCCACCCAACACTACACCAGCCCCCCCCCACCACCCAACACTACACCAGCCCCCCCCCCTCCACTACCACCACCTAAAAATTCCTGTGGCAAATCAAGACTAATTTTGTCGACCATCCCTTTTAGTCTCTCTGGCTTGTTAAGCCTGACTCTAACCCAGAGACCACGTGTACAGTGACGCCTGACTCCACAATACACCCAGTACACTACGCTCCACAATACACCCAGTACGCTACCCTCCACAATACACCCAGTACGCTACCCTCCACAATACACCCAGTACGCTACCCTCCACAATACACCCAGTACGCTACCCTTCACAATACACCCAGTACGCTACCCTCCACAATACACCCAGTACACTACCCTCCACAATACATCCAGTACACTACCCTCCACAATACACCCAGTACGCTACCCTCCACAATACACCCAGTACGCTACCCTCCATACCCTCCACAATACATCCAGTACGCTACCCTCCACAATACACCCAGTACGCTACCCTCCATAACCTCCACAATACATCCAGTACACTACCCTCCACAATACACCCAGTACGCTACCCTCCACAATACACCCAGTACGCTACCCTCCATAACCTCCACAATACACCCAGTACGCTACCCTCCATAACCTCCACAATACATCCAGTACGCTACCCTCCATAACCTCCACAATACATCCAGTACGCTACCCTCTACAATACAACCAGTTACCTGGTTGATGGGGTTCTGTTAGTTGTTCTACTCCCCAAGCCCGGCCCGAGGCCAGGCTTGACTTGTGATAACTTGGTCCACCAGGCTGTTGCTTGGAGCGGCCCGCAGGCCCACATACCCACCACAGCCCGGTTGGTCCACCAGGCTGTTGCTTGGAGCGGCCCGCAGGCCCACATACCCACCACAGCACGGTTGGTCCACCAGGCTGTTGCTTGGAGCGGCCCGCAGGCCCACATACCCACCACAGCCCGGTTAGTCCACCAGGCTGTTGCTTGGAGCGGCCCGCAGGCCCACATACCCACCACAGCCCGTTGGCCCTGTTGCTTGGAGCGGCCCGCAGGCCAACATTTGATCCAACAGGCTGTTGCTTGGAGCGACCCGCAAGCCCACATACCCACCACAGCCCGGTTGGTCCGGCACTTTTTGAAGAAAACAATCTTGTTTTCTCTTGAAGATGTCCACGGTTGTTTCGGCAATATTTTTTATACTCGCTGGGATGACGTTGAACCGCGGACCTCTGATGTTTATACAGTGTTCTCTGATTGTGTCTATGGCACCCTGCTCTTCACTGGTTCTATTCTGCATTTTCTTCCATATCGTTCACTCCAGTATGTTGTTATTTTACTGTGTAGATTTGGGACCTGGCCCTCCAGTAATTTTCCACGTGTATATTATTTTATATCTCTCTCTCGTCTTCTTTCTAATGAGTACATTTGGAGAGCTTTGAGACGATCCCAATAATTTAGGTACTTTATTGCGTCTATGTATGCCGCATATGTTCTCTGTATTCCCTCTGTTTCAGCAATCTCTCCTGCTCTGAAGGGCGAAATGAGTACTGAGCAGTACCCAAGACGGGACAGGACAAGTGATTTGAAGAGTACAACCATTGTGATGGGATCCCTGGATTTGAAAGTTCTCGTAATCCATCCTATCATTTTTCTGGCTGACACAATATTTGCTTGGTTTTGCTCCCTAAACGTTAGGTCGTCAGACATCATTATTCCCAAATCCTTGACATGTTGCTTTCCTACTATGGGCACATTTGATTGTGTTTTGTACCCTGTATTATATTTAAAGTTCTCATTTACCGTACACACCCAGTACGCTACCCTCTACAGTACACCCAGTACGCTACCCTCTACAGTACACCCAGTACGCTACCCTCTACAGTACACCCAGTACGCTACCCTCTACAGTACACCCAGTACGCTACCCTCTACAGTACACCCAGTACCCTATCCTCTACAGTACACCCAGTACGCTACCCTCTACAGTACACCCAGTACGCTACCCTCTACAGTACACCCAGTACGCTACCCTCTACAGTACACCCAGTACGCTACCCTCTACAGTACACCCAGTACGCTACCCTCTACAGTACACCCAGTACGCTACCCTCTACAG